GATATAATAAGCCCCATTCAGGGGCAAATCGAGATTCGGAAAGGTTTGGCCAGTATTGGCCTCGATATTATTTTTCGGTATTTTCTTTGATTTATTTGTTCTCTTAGGTGAATATTTGTATTTTGGGTACAGTTCAATGTGCTTTTCTCTCGCTGCTTTAGCGAGAATTTCGAAATAATACTTCACTGATGTTTTTTGGATATCCCATTTTTGAGAGGTTAAATTCGAAATTTCTTTAATTGTAACGTTTTTTCCTGATTTTTTAACTTCTGCGTGATAGTTTTTTCGAAATAAAATATATGCATTAGGCGGCCTCGGTGGTTTCGACGTTTCAGGGTTTCTCCTGTATTGTGACGCGCGTCGAGAAGTGAACGAAGGGGAAACTAACTCCTCTACTGTTAGTGTTAAGGGGTAAGCAGGTACGATTCTTAACACTTCTTCATAAAAGGAATGTTTAATATTAAGTGCAAAGTGAATATCAGATTTTTCAGTAGAGGGCATATTAATTTCTTGGTGAGAAAATTCAAAGGTCGAGAAGGAATTGTCTTTAAATAAGAATTTTTTTCATTCATAAATAATTGATTTATTATAACAAATTCAGTTTATCCGGTCTGAGGCAATTGTTCTTACAATTTGTGCAACAAAAATTTAACATCAATTCCTGAAGCCTTTGGCGAAACGGAAAACAAACTGTTGCAGCGTGATCCCATCATGCTGCTTATTTTGGATTGCCTTTCCGGAAAAACGAGCCAACTGCCTGAGGTGGAGCTACGTAGGTGGATCGATCCTATAGTAACTCTAGTAACATAAGCAAATCATTACTTGATTTTAAAACAATAGCATGCGTTACACGTACGTACGTACGTACATACGTTATATCTTACATACCTGATACCTATTTTCCAACAGCTAAAACAAAGCAGAATAGTAATGCATATAATGAATTTATTATGATACTCCGGAATATTAGAACATACATCTAGGATGACATTATTCTAATTAAAATTTAAAAGACGCCACAGCACGTGATGGAATCTAAAAATCTAGATTGATAAAAATGTTAAAAGTACGTTTTGACTCGAAACTAGTCTAAATTCAGTATATACCGTATTCTTTTGGTTCAGTCTGGACTGT